AGGAAGGAAGGAAGGAAGGAAGGAAGGAAGGAAGGAAGGAAGGAAGAAAGAGGCTGTTTCAGAGAGCATCATGGAATGGGAAACTCCCTCCACCCAACCCCTCAGCTCAGCCCCATGGAAACCCCTGGAATCATTCCTGTAATATATGCCCTCAGATGCTGGAGAAGCTGCCCTGGAAAGAGGAATGACTGAGGCTCAGCTGAATGAATGGTTAGGGCATCTCTGAGCATATGCAGCATGAGCATCTATCATGGTGCCAAAGCCAGGCCCCATTACATGGCTTTAGAACTAAGAGGGGCAGGGCTCTTTTGGCAAGGCTATGGGGCTTCCAGGCAGCCTTTAACCCCAGAGACCAGCCGTGGCCCTACATGATGCCAGAGGGATTGTGCTGCTTCCTCCCCCTCTGCCCCGCCATTCCCCCTTCATGCTTTTGAGAAACCCCCCACTCCCTTTCACTGCCATCCCATGCAGCTCTTCCTCCCTGTCACCCCCTCCAGTGCTGTTACATGGTCACCGTCTCACCTGTAGAGTTTATTTGCACTTAAAAAAAAGACCTGCACCAAAAAAGCAAATTCTGCCGCCTGCTGAAATCGTGGCCATTTACATGAGTTCCTCTGTTTCGATTTATTCCGCCTGTTTGGGGGGGGAAGGGGTTGTAAGGAACAAAGCAGGTATTCTGCAGGTGCTTGGCAAGAGTCGTCCGGGTCCTTCCTCTCCTCTCCGACTCCCCCGCCCAACATCTGCCCCCCCCCATCCTGGCTTTTGGGGATTGTCTCCCGGCACTGCTGAAATCAAACGTCCTCAGCTCTTTTGTGCCAGAAGGGTGAGCAACCTGAGAAGTTTAGACTGAGAGCCGGCTGAACTCTGGGTCTGGCACTTTGCATGATGGGGCAGCCAAAATTTATTTATGCTTTTTATTTAAAATATTTTTACCCCGACTTTCTCCTTAGAAAAGGACCCAAGGTGGCTTACAACATTTAAAGACAATAGTTAAGAACAAAGTATACAAGTACAAAACTAAAAAGCAAGATTTAAAACTAAAACACGAAGTACAGAAATATTGACGACGAATCCCCAGGGTTCAAACAAACCTCTCCCTTTGTTCTCCATACTGTGTCAGGGCTACATCCTGCTGCTGAACGGTTGACTCACATATGATGCACCAGCACCAAATGCAAAGCCCCACATGCTGAAGGGCGCCCATGGTCCACCCACCTGCCTACCTGAAGCCCTTTGCACTCTTCGGGGGGGGCGGATTCAGGAGTGGAGGTGGGGATCCCTGAGCTGCCTTGCCTCCCACCCAGAGCTCCACCCCATACCTTCCTCTCCCTCTTTCTCCCCCCTCCCATGTTCATAGCCCACAGAAGACACGGGGGGGGGATGGGGGGCAGAGACAGAGAGAGAGAAAGAGAGAAAGAGATGGGTCACTGTGGGGGCTTCCCGTGGGTTTGGCCCGACCGTTCAGGCTGCAGGCAGAGGGGTGGGTGGTGCACTGCCAGGTCTTCCGTGCACGCACGCACAAACAACCAGCTCAGAGCTTCTCCATGCAAGCCGAGCCCTGCGGTCACCCGGTCTCCTGTTTCTGTTTGATTGGCACTCACTGCTGGATTTAAAAGGGTCTGGCCAGCCGGACGCCCAGCCTGGAGTCCCTGCAGCAGCAGCTGGAGGACCTGCCCAGCAGCGAGTCCACCTACGAGACCCTCTCTCAATTCGGGAGCATCGACTCCAGGGTAAAAAAGCAAACGCACCCCTCCTTCACTCCCTCCCCCTCCCCCCATGGGCCGCTCTGTTCCCACCATGCTGTTCATGTGAAACCCCCCCCCATCCCGCACCTCCATCTGAAGCCGCTCACTCCCTTTGCCCCAACTCATGCACTGTTTTCATCCTGTCGCCTGTGACCACACCGCCGCACAGCCTGGTCCCCCCAGTGCACAGCCTCGGAGGGCGGGGTGTGGGGGCTCCTGGTTCAGGGCACCCACAAACTGCCTTCCAAAGCCAGATGAGCAGGGAAGGAGGCAGGGTGGGTGCGAGTGAAAGCTTCTTTTTTAGAGGACATGATGAACAGGATGGCTTGTTTATTTATTTGTTTAGTTATTTGCTTATGTGACCAGGATTGGGACTTAAAGCAGCTCCCAACCGGGTGAAAATGGAGTGGGAGGGGGGAAGAGGCAAGCCTAGCATGGTGCAGGAAGGCAGGGTCCCAGAACGCTCCCCGATCCTGCTTCTGCCCCTTGGTCCCTCTTGCCAGCCTTGCCAGCTCTAATGGGCAGCATCCTTGGCTCACCGGGGCTTTGGGCAGGGACCTCCTCCAGGCCCCCACCTGGAGAGGCGGCGAGAGACTTCTCCCTCCCCACGCTCTCCTGCCAGCCAGCAAAGGTGCTCTGATGCTCAGGTACAGCCCCCAAGAGTCTCAGGCAGCGGGGAGCCTGTCCTCTGCCTGGACCTGTGGGGGGCCCCTGCCAGCCTCTGGCGCCGTCTACTTCTTGGGCACCTGCCCTCCCTCCACACTTCTGCTCTCTTGCCCTCCAGTGCAATCCTAACTCAAAGGAGCTTCGACTGGGAGAGTCTGGAAGAGGCAGAAGCCAGTGGGCAGCAGGGCCTTCCTGCCAACGGACTGCCCCTTCTGCCAGCTCAGATCTGCTGGTGGAGGGGATTCTCCAGCAGAACTGCTAGGCTGGTTAAAATCTGCTGAGAGAATAACAGAAAAGAAGGCAGGGAAAAGCACGGGGGGTGGGTGGGTGGGAGGGAAGAGCTACGTTGTGCCAGATCGACATGTTGGCACTAAATACAGCCAAGGGGAGGGTAGCTAAGCCAACCTCAGCATCCCCAGTCTGGATAGGGCTTGGATTCAGAACAGCTTCAGCTTGGGCACCCCGGGCACCTTGGTTCCGTAGGACAGCCCTCGGACTTTGCCTGCTCTTCTTCAGAAGGTGGGCATAGTGCAGCATGCGATACCCTCCACCTCCACAGCATAGAGGGGCACAGAGCAGACACTGGGCATTCGGGATGGCAGGGTGGGCAAAGGCAGAGCCATCTGCACAGCCTGAGTCATGAAGGAGCAGCGGGTGGAGGGGGCAGTCCTGCCCGTTAGGCACTAGGTCTGGCAGCCTTTCAGCTGCAGCCCTGCTCCCCATAGCGCTCGCAGCCTGACTTCTGCTACCACTTTTCTCCCCTGGTTTCCCATCTCTCTCTCTCTCTCTCTCTCTCTCTCTCTCTCTCTCTCTCTCCCTCCTCCCCTGCTTCCAACCCCCCCCCCCAGACGGGGGGGGGTAACGT